GCCTACCCCAACTTGTTTGGGACTAAAAGGCTTTGTTGTTGTTGTTGTTGTTGTTGAGTAGACAACATTTTTCTTTTTAAAAATACTACAGTTTTTTAAAATTTCGTATATATTTAGAAATGTAAACATTTACTTTAGTATATTGCGACATATACTTAACCATATATTGAATTAAACACATACATTTATTATGCCTTGTTGCAGTATATGTAACATACAGTTTTGCTATGGAGCCATCGGATGGCTCGGCTTATGGAGTCATCCACAGTTATTCACAAATAGTGTATTGACACGTGTCCTACAATAAATGCACTTTGGACAAGTGTCAATACACTAAGTCATGGATGGCTCCATAAGAAAACCATTCGATGGCTCCATAGAATTTTTGATGTAACATATACTTAAACAAAAAAAATAGCTCGAATCGGATATGAAGACCCATTTGAATTCATGCTTACATTGAGATACAACTTCTTAGTACAATATTTATCTAAAATATAAAACATAATGTTTAGTGAATAGTATTATCAATAAAGAACATTTTTATTATTCAATTCTGCTCATCTTCGAAAATATCATTTTTACACTTTTTTCGTATTTGGACATATTTTCGTTAGCTAGGTAGTGAACTGAGCAAAAAAGTATTGGATCGAGATGCAGGCCAAGCCTTTTCTGCACTGCACGTTTATGTGGAAACGATTGTTCGACATCAATATCAGACTTTAAGTACTCATTGGACACTGCAAGACAACCTTGTTTTGGTTTATATCAAGTATAGCTTCAATATATTTTACTATTTTTTCTACAGTACCTGCAACATTGTTGATCCAAACTCTGATGTGATCGATAAACACCATTAATTTAGATATTTTCCTACATGTTTAGACATCCAAAATCATCAGGTTAAAAACATCACATCAGGAGAAACAACAAAAATAAAAAGGCAAAATTACCCAAAATTCCCTTCGTCATATAGCCAAGTCTCAACCTGTTGGTCGTCGTTGTCGTACGTTGAGCCACGAATCTAATTTTTTCCCCCAAATAAATCTCTCTCAACCGAGGGTTGAGCTATACCACGCAACCCTCTGTCGCCATTGGCCATTGTACATCGAGCCACGTAACTCCAAAAATTTAATTCTAAACTGAGAGCCGAGCATTACCGTGCAACCCTCTGTCGTCGTTGCCCGTCGCATCGTCTGTCGATCTCTAATTTATTTGCTTTTTTTTTTAACAAACATAGAAGAAAGGAAGATATCGCATTTTGATTTGAAAAATAAATCGTCTGAAACGTTGATGGTGTGGCCCATATTTTTTAAATGATTATTCGTAAATTTTTTTATTCTAATGGCGTCTGTTACGAGGTTGAGAGGATGACAACAAGAATAATGCAAGTAATAAACTGTAAATTGATAACAATATGCTCTATATAAACTAGTAATTGTTGTAAATTGGAGTCCTCAATATTCACCAGACATCCATCAATCCAAGCATAAAAGAGGTGCAGTAAAAGAATGAGAAAAGAGAAGCAGAAAAGTCTCTATCTTTATTCATCGGTATTCACTCTTTTTATAGAGTTTACAAGGAAGAAACCCTAAAACCTAATCCTACTAACTAATGGACTTCAGGCCCAATTATCTATTAGTAATGTCCATATTAATATATTTATAACACTCCCCCTTGGACATTATTACATGCCTCATTAAAAACCTTGCAATTAAAAACCCAACATGGAAAAAAAATTAGGCAAGGGAAAAAGAGTACATGATTTATAAAAATTCATGTGTTTTACTAGCCGCCTCGTTAAAAACCTTTACCTAATAAACCCATTAGAAAAAACTTAGTTAAAGGAAAAAAGAGTACAACATTTGGTCTTCAGGACCTAATCTTCAGAATTATTGTGAGTTTTTCCCTCCCCCTGAAGACAATAGTCTTCCCAGTTTACGCATACCAATACCATAAATGTATTTTTCAAAAGTAGATGTAGGAAGAGATTTGGTGAATAGGTCTGCCAAGTTCTCGCTAGACCTTACCTTTTGTACAATAATCTCACTGCTCTTTTGGAGCTCGTGTGGGTAAAAGAATTTTGGAGCAATGTGTTTTGTCATGCTTCCTTTGACATACCCACTACTCATTTGTAAAACACAAGCTGCATTATCCTCATAAAGGACAGTGGGGGTTATATCATTTGTAATTCCACATGATCCACGAATATGTTGGATTAAAGATCTTAACCATACACATTCGCGTGAAGTCTCGTATAAAGCAATTATTTCTGAATGGTTTGAAGATGTAGTAACCATGGACTTCTTGACCGACTTCCAAGAGATTGCAGTACCACCACAAAGAAAAACATAACCATTCTGTGATCTAGCATTATGGGGATCAGACATATAACCAGCATCCGAATAGCCCACTAATGTCATATCTTGATTTTTATTATAAAGTAAACCAAGATCTTGTGAACCTTGAAGATATCTAAAAATATGTTTAATACCGTTCCAGTGTCTCCTCGTAGGAGAAGAACTAAACCTTGCTAGCAAATTTACTGCAAATGCAATATCATGCCTGGTGCAATTTGCAAGATAAAGTAACGCGCCAATGGCGCTCAAGTAAGGAACTTCTGGTCCTAAATTTTCTTCGGTATCTTCTTTAGGTCTAAATGGGTCCTTATCCGCTTCAAGGGACCGGACAACAATTGGTGTGCTAAGTGGATGAGATTTATCCACTGGTGTACAAATATTCCTTCAGGGAGATGCTCGATCTGCAGGCCGAGACAATATTTGGTTTTACCCAAATCTTTCATTTCAAACTCCGTCTTTAGGCATGATCTAGCTTTATCAAGCTCCTCTCGTGTGCCAATTATATTTATGTCATCGACATAAACTGAAATGATGCAAAAGCCATTCGTTGACCTCTTTATAAACACATAGGGACACACATCGTTATTCACATAATTATTTTTCAACAAAAACTCACTCAGCCGGTTGTACCACATTCTACCCGACTGCTTTAAGCCATATAATGACTTTTGTAATTTAATGCTATACATGTTGCGCGTTTGATTTTCCCTTATTTCGGGAACCTTTAACCCTTCAGAGATTTTCATATATATATTTGTGTCTAATGACCCATATAAATATGCGGTCACGACATCCATTAACTGCATATCTAAATTCATAGTTACTGCTAGAGATATCAAATAGCGGAACGTTATTCCATCCATTACACGAGAATATGTTTGATCAAAATCAATTCCGGGTCTCTGCGAAAACCCTTGAGCAACTAATCTTGCTTTGTATCTCACCACATCATTATTTTCATTTCTCTTCCGCACGAACACCCATTTATATCCTAATGGGATAACATTTTGAGGTGTACGCGCAATAGAGCCAAAAACTTTTCGTTTATTTAGCGAGTCTAGTTCAGCCTCAATTGCCTCTTTCCATCTTACCCAATCAGAGCGCTTCCGGCCCTCTACAGTTGATTTTGGTTCTGGATCCAGGTTATTGGAGATGGTAAAAGCAACTATAGAGGCAAATGTGTCGTCGACGACTATGTTACTTCTATTATAAGTTTCTCCTGTATCAACAAAATTTGTAGCTACTTCAATATTCACATCAACCAGATCTTCATCATTTCCCAATATATTTTGATCTGGATGTTCCACAATCCTAGTATTTTTATTATTTGTTGCACGTGCATTTAAACTAGGATTTTCGCTTTCTGGACGATTATCTTCTGGAGATTTTGGGAGTGATATAACATTCTTATTAGATTTCGTTTTCCGCAGATTATTGTCTTTTGTACCAACGGGTCTACCACGCTTCTGGCGTGGAGTATCTGCAGTAATATTAGACTTTATGGGGACTTCCACTCGTTGTGGAGCATTTATCGAAGGTACATGAGATTTGGTCACTATTTTATGATCAGTAAATGCATCTGGCAGATTATTTGCTAAATATTGCAAATTAATTATATTTTGAACTTCAAGTTCAGTTTGATTAGTGCGTGGATCTAAATATTGTAGATTTTCTACATTCCAAGAAATTTTTTCTCGACATTTATTTAAGTTTGGGCTTTTATCTCCCCCTAATGCCGGAAAATTCTTTTCATCGAATATGCAGTCAGCGTACTTAGCTGTAAATTGATCCCCAATCATGGGCTCTAGGTATTTGAGAATAGACGGAGATTCATAGCCAATATATATACCTAGCTTTCTATTAGGGCCCATTGAGGTACGCTGTGGTGGTGAGATGGGAACATAGACTGCACAACCAAATACTCGCAGATGGAAAATGTTAGGTTCTTTACCACGCACTAGATGTATAGGGGAGTAATCATGATATGCAGTAGGTCGGATTTGAATTAGGGCAACAGCATGTAAAATTGCATGTCCCCAACATGAAATTGGTAAGTTGGAATTTTGTTACAATGGTCTAGCAATTAATTTGATGCGCTTAATGAGTGATTCGGCTAGACCATTTTGTGTGTGGACATAAGGTACCGGATGCTCCACTTTGATGCCCAGTGACATACAGTAATCATCAAAAGCTTTCGATGTAAATTCTCCGACATTATCCATTCTAATAGTTTTAATTTGATAATCAGGAAATTGAGCTCTTAATTCAATAATTTTAGCAAGGAGCTTTGAAAAAGCCTGATTTATAGTGGATAATAAACACACATATGTCCATCGAGTGGAAGCATCTATCAATACCATAAAATATCGAAAAGGTCCCGAAGTGGGATGAATAGGACCAC